AACCCACAAAGTAACTTCAAAGTTATCCGCAGAATACGTAGGGATCTTGTTAGAACAATACGAATCAAACTTCTTCAAACAGAGCAGAAGCAATGGCGATTCATATGTTAAATCCTGAACTCTGCATACAAAAGAAGAAGTTTATTGAGTCATTAAATCTACAATGGATCTGATCGACCTATCTTAACACTAAATGCGTAATTTTTGTTTCTTCTTTTTCTTGCTTGTTTGTTTCTTAATTGTATAATATTTTCTTCCCCTACCCCTTTTTAAATATCTACCCCTTATTACCACTGTTGTTAACCTGAATTTTGTTCATTTCAAATTCAAGTTGAGCTCTACTCAACTCCGTCAATAAGATTACATCACTCAACTTGCTTATTTAGTCTTACTTTAGTTGCTAACCCATTAATGAAATTTATTATCTGAAATTTACAATTCTAATGACAAATCTTTGGAAGTAATCCTTCTGTTACTGAGCCGATTATTATTAATAATGTTCCCCTTAGTTCCTAGAAGAACGTAGTGTGCACGTCTCCATTGCGTTCGGTTCTCAGCCAACGTTTTCACCTGCCTCCATATCTGCCCACATGCCTTTATCTCCTCTTCCCATCACCTCCTCCTCCATCTCACCCTCTAACTGACGACCAACTCGCCGCTTCCAATTCGGGTTCTATTCGAGCGATGGCCTGACGTGTGATGCCACTTGATGGTTTGTTTTCTCAGAGTATGGTCACCAATCTACCTCCATTTCTTCCTGCATATTTGTTGCACAGTCGGTTGCTGCTGGGTTTGTTCGTTCATTGCCAGAGATCCCTCCCTGTTGCTAATCTTTTCTGGCTGGCCATCTGATCTTGAGTAGTATTGAGCGAAAAGGTCTGTAGTTTGTTTGAGGTGCTCTTCATGACGCGCCAAGTCTCTGATCCGTATAGTAATTAGCACTGACTTCATATTGGAGATGAAAATCCTGATCTTATTTTATTTTCATGCTGAGGAGTGCTGTTGACGTCCACACAGACTTGAGATTAGTGAAAGCTTGCCTTGCTATCCCGATCCTCGTTGCTTTGATATCCTCATCAGTTCCGTCCTGCTGTAGTTGAAACGATGCTTCCCAAGTAGGTAGGTAGGTAGGTAAGCAGTTAAAGGAGGTTGCTTCTCTGAGATTTCTTTCATTTATGCTGATTGTTGTCTGTTGCTGTCGCCGTTACTGTTGGCCAGGAATCTTCGTCATCACCTATGTGGTATGTATGTTAACCTGAAGGCCTGTCTTTGATGCTTCTTCTGCTAACATGTTGCTTTTCATCACTTGCATATCTTCCAGTTTGTGGGAAATCAGACATATATCATCGGCGAAGTCCAGATCCTCCAATTGTTTTGTGTGAGTCCATTTTATTTCTGTTTCCTCATTGCCCACTGTTTCTTGCATTATCCAGTGTACCACAATCAAGAAAATCATTGGAGATACTAGGCAGCCAACTTGTCTTACTCCGGTCTTCACTTCGAAGGATTCCGTGAGTTTCCCGTTGTGGATTACTTGGCATGCAGCAATTTCGTACAGCAGTTGGATGTGATGTATAATTGTTGGCGTCACCCCACATTAGTGAAGTAGTTTCCAAATCACTTCTCGATCGACACTGCACTGTCAAAGACCTTTTCAAAGTCAATGAAGTTGAGCGAGGTGGAGAGCTGACTGCCATTCCAAGCTTTATTCAATGATGAAACGTAGTGTTGCGATTTGATCGATGCATGACAACTTGTTCCCCCTGAATCCAGCCTGTTCCGGTAAAACTTTTCCATCCGGGATGGCGTGTTTGATTCTCTCCAGGATGATGTGACTTAGTATTTTGCTTGGGATGGGCAGGAGCATAATGCCGCGCTAGTTCTTGCATTGCCCTCTCTCCACACCTTTTGCAGCAGTGGTGTCGCCAAGTCCATTTATGTCTCTGGGTCCGTTTTCAATGCTTCTTCTAGGATTCCATCTGGTCCTGCTGCTTTTCCAGCTTTTAGCATCTTGATTGCCTTCAGGACTTCTGATTTCGTCGGGGGGTTGGTGTTCACTGGTAGCTCTGTCTCCGTTGTTGGTATTATTGGGCGCGTTTTAGGTGGTGGTCGATTTAGGAGTCTTTTGAAGTGTTCAGTCCAGTGTTTCCTTTGCTCCACTTCTTTGTTGAGTGACTTTCCATTGTCATCCTTCACCGGCTTGATTTGTGTCAAACGTTTACCCGATAGGTACCTAGTTGTTTGGTAGAGTGTTGCGAGGTCTCCTTTGCCTGCAGCTTCTTCTGCTTCACTTGCCATAGCTTCATAATATTTTCTTTTGTCTTCCCTGGCACTCTTCTTTACTCTTTTGTCCAGTGTCTTGTAGCTTGTATTCAACTCCTGTTTTTGTTGCTCGTCGATGCACTGGATAATGTTTTGTTTCACCATCCTCCTCTTTTCTATTAGTCTCCATGTGTCCGTAGTGAGCCACTGTTTGTCCTGTCTCTTCTTTCTGCTTAGAACTTCCATGCAGGTTTGACTTCACACCGCTTTCAGGCTCTGGCAGTGCTTTTCACTAAGACAGTTATATATATATATATTATATCGCCGAAAAGAGTAACTCTTTGCTGAACGCCCTTTCTTTTACATAATAATTTTATTACGATTTTAACATGCTTAAGTTCATTAGAGATAAAATGTCGAACAATAATTAAGAATGCTCATAGAATACAGACAGATGAACTGGAATGTTACGTTGACTGATAGAATTCAGTCTGCACTAGAACCAAGGACAACCTAGCGTTCAGTCAAAGTATCTGTTACAGTCCTACGGGCGATCATTCGAGAGGCGGAATAACCGAGAAAATTAAACATCAATCAGCTTTGAAGAATTTTAGTGAATAGTGAAGATATCATGACAGTGAAAGCAGACAAAGGTTCTGACGTTGTTATAATGAATAAGAATGATTGTGCACGTAAAGTCAAGTTAATTTTACAAAATTCGTCAGGATTTGTGTTGGACAGTAAGAAAAAAAGGACTACTAAATCCACACAGAAGTGAATTATGAAGAAATTAGGAGAACTTTTGAAGAAGAGGAAGAAACTAATAGACAATTCAACCAATTATGTTGATCTTAGACCGGCAGGTTCTCGTCTATCATTTATTTATGATTTATCTAAGATGGCACCTTACGATAAACTCGCTAGATGATTAGTTAAAAAGTTAGAATCAATTCGTGAAAAGTCAGGCAGTCATGGTTTAAAAGGTAGGTTTGAATCTTTGAAGAATTTAGAAAGTCTAAACTTTGTCAACAAATTCATGGTACCACATGATATGATAACTAACCAATAGCAACGATAACAACCATCACCAATCACCATCAACGGGAGAAATTTGTAGGAGGTCACCTCCTTCACCTACAGGCTACGTGATATCCGACTATCGACCAAAGGGCGTGTGAACTGCTCATCAGTCCGCTCCGTCCTCCTTTATGGCTGTGAGACATGGTCATTTAGAGCGGAAGACATGAAAAGATTAGCTGTCTTTGATCATAAGTGTCTGTGTTCTATCTCCCGTGTGAAGTGGTATAATAAGGTGAGCAATATTGAGGTTAGGCATCGGTCGAGTGCTAGGAAGAGAGGGGAAATCAATCGACGAGGCTGTGAAGTTACATCGACTGAGATGGTTAGGACATGTGTTACGTATGCCTAGTCATCGCCTTCCTCGACGGGCAATGTTAGCTGATATAGGGTCAGGCTGGAAAAGAGCTAGCGGCGGTCAAACCAAAACATGGCACCAATCAATGAAATCCACAACAGTTAATCTAAGCCACGTAGGAAGATGTAGACTTCCTGGTTGGGGCCCTCGGGACGGTAAAAACCAATGGTTGGAAACAATTTGTGACATGGCTCAAACTCATCGTTCTCAATGGCTGGTGCAGATGCATCCACTCCTTATGACTTATCATTTCCAATGAAACTGTTTTGTTCTTCGTTATTACTATTCCTTTGTCTCACACCTCTGTTTACTGTCTCTAATATGCATTTCTCCTACTTTCTTCTTTTGCTTTGTGTGCTACATTGAGTGAAGTGTGGCGACTTGAACTGTCGCACAAATGTGCAAAGTTCTATGTCGAAAACAGACAGACGGACAGGCTAGCAGAAGTGATGAACGTGTCAAAGCCAGGCAGGATTGGAAAGGCGAGATATGCCCTCATCAACCTGAAACCAGTTAGGAAATCTTTTGCTGTCACTCAGTCAGCATAAACAACAAGATTCAAATTTCTAACACAAATGCGAAGTCAGTCAGTCCTTTTATACGAGTCAGTAACTTGGCTCACCGTTAAAGTTATTTCCAACGGGCTGCAGGCTTTCATCAGCACGTGCCAATTTCTTTGACTCCGTATTGAAGATCAAATGGCCAACCGGTCGGAAATAATTAGCAACAAAAGACTCTTACTGGGAACAAACCAGCAGGCGAGAGCTGATTGCTCAAGAAATATGCAGGCGAAAATGGAGATGGATGGGTCGGACACACGTTGAGGAGACCGTCGAATAGCGTTGCGATCAATGTAGGCTATTGCTCAAGTAGAATCCCAGAGGGAAGCGACGATGGGCTGGTCACTGTGAGGGTAACATGGAGGAGATCGTGTGTCGGGGAGGAGGAGATTTGAGATTATGAGCAATCGTGAACCCAGCTGAAGAGGACAGCAGGAAATAGAACAAAGTGGAGATGTGTTGCTGAAGACATTTGTTCCACTGGGAACCGAAGAGAATAATAATAATAGTAATATAATAATATGATATATCCTTATTTATTCATACATTAAGGTAGTTTAAAAATAATGTAGAAGTCTACTGACCAATCGATTAAATGAACTTTTATTGATTCTTATACATTTAAAACAGTTAACAGTATGCATACATAAAATACACTCTACTGGAAATAAATAAATATATGTATATATATATCACATCGTTCCATCTGACATTTAATACCTGATATAAACAAAAAATAAATCATGGAATGTACTTCACTTAAAAGTATACCAAAATCATCACAAAATTTAACACATAGCATAGATGTCAATGATACAATGGAAAATTTAACCCTATCCGAAATACAAAAGGAATTAAAACAAAATGAATTTCATTTATCTAGTCTTACTGGAGGCATTATTGCATCAAATCACAATAATTCAAAAAGGGTAATAAATAGTTCACATTTAAACAACGATGATATTGATACACTTGAACAAGCGGACAATTCAAATAATCGCGGGATGTTAAATAAAAACATACAGTTAAACAAAATTTTTAACTTCAATTTGAATAATAATTATAATAATAGAAGTTTTAATAATATTAACACTATCAGTACGACTACAAGTACAAATCAAGCGAATTCTCTCCAAGAGAATGAGACTAGTGATCAAAATATAAAATCATCACAAGAAGTAAGTTCAACTAAATCAAAATCAATGCAATCAACAAAAGTAAGACCAAGTAGTCCATATTCTAAATTTATTCGAACTGCACCAGCCCGTAGTACTCCATGTCCTAAATCGGATGCACTAACTTCAACACGGATAAGTAGTAGTAATAAAGGAAATACTCCTGAATTACCAAAAAGTATTATCTACTTAACTAGACCACCTGGATTAACCTATCGACTTGAATTTCTAACATCTAATGTATCCTTTGTTCCACTTTATGTTCATGCAAGACCTACACCACCATTAGAAACTGAAAAGAAAATACAACTTCGACCATTTGAATATCCAGAATGGGATACATCTGATGTTGCTAAATCATTTGGTCATGGTTTTTTACGTAGAAAATATGCTTTAAGTATAGATTCAATTAATTTACAAAAATCAATTAAATTACCCTTACCACCGACACAAGTGTACACAGATGATTTGAAATCATTGACACATAAACGTACTGTTAGTGAGTCGAATAAATCTGCTCTAACTGGACATATATACTTTAATTATCGTGATATGATTATTCGGGTCCCATGTGAAGCCTTGCCTATAACACAGATTAAAATGCCTGTACATGAAGATATTTTAGCAAAATTAGAAAAATTACATATGCCAACATCAGAAACACGTAGAAACAAGGGGGTGATTATAGCACGTTATGGAAATGATCTGTTACAGTTTAATTTTAAAATGGAAGAAATAAATTTAAGTCGGTATGAAGTGAAAGGCACAGCTGCTGTACAAACAGAAGACAAAATGGTGTATATACGTGAAAAATCACAAATAAGTGGACGAACAATTTTGATAGCTGTACCAGAGACAACATATTTTTATAAAAATCCAATGGAAAATATACACCGACTACATTTAAACTTTCAAGGATCAAATATTATGCCATTGTGGAAATATCAAATGATGAAAGCTCGACTAGCTGAAAGAGATGGAATAAAAATTATCGAAGCGAAAATTGAAGATGCCTTTAGACGAACACGAGGATCACGACTGTGCTTTGATGGATTGGATGCATTGATAACAGTACAGACAGGGATGCTTTGTTGTGATATACCGCATGGATATAATTTTTATGAAAGTATGATGTTTGAAGAATACAATCCATCACGGTATAAACCAAATGTTTATCAGCCAAGATTATCACAGAATAGGAAAAGTGATACAAACCAGGAGGCTGAAAATCCAGTGGTAAGAAGATATTCTCCCCCACATCATATGTAAATATGTGTATATACATATATATTCATTTAAAGGTCGCAGTGGCTGAACGGTCTACGAGCTGGCTGTGTAACTGGAAGGACTTACGTCCGAACCTCGGCGGGTACGTACTGCTCAAGAGTCCCAAACTGGGAGTAAATACTTATCCAGCACTCCCTGGCTTTGTACATCATTAGCTCAGGAATAGAATTCTCACCATTCACGCACGTGGTCCAGATACGACCGCCGGCTGATGCGCTTCTAAGCCTCCCTCAGCCAGTAGTGACCCAGGGGAAGGATGTAAGGCTGGTTATGAGGAGGGCAACCTTATCCCGTAAACACAGAAGCACAACTGAGACTTTCAACCTTATAGCTTGAAGTCCTATGTTCCACTCGGGACACGAAAGAGTGAGGTCATAGAGGTATTCATTTCAAGGAGATCATGAAATCGAAGACAGGGAGCGGAAAACGATATAACCTTGGACAGTTAAGTATTATCAGAGAAGATAATACGGTCAGTAGGTACCGTCATGATTTTTTCTTAAGACCACCTGGGAAGAATGTTTCTGCTGAAAAGATCAAAAGCAGGTACTTTCATAAAGGTAGTTGCTTACCCTAAGGTTGAGATCGAAGGAATAAGTCGTACTATAAAAACAGACGACTAGTAGGCTAGCCGTTCTGCCTTCCCACTTTAAGAAGGAAGGTACAGAAGAGGCTAGCTTAAGATAAGGTATTCAGTGTTGAGGGGAAATTAAAAATCTCAACTCCAGATGGGCCATTTGCGGTCAGTCCAAAGCTATTGTCCATGGAACAATCAAACAGAACTAGTATCTGTTCCCTTTAGGGTATTCCTACAATATAGACAGCCGGGCTGCAGTGGGCTGTAGTTAGTCCATGTGAACTTCCTAGTGTGAGGACAGTTTTAAGTGTAAGCGCAGATAACTAGTTGCTTGAACGGATCCCAGTGAACAGTTGTATGTCTGGCCGGAATGATCATTAACATTCAGGCATGATGGTGACACTCGTCAGTGTCTTTTCTTAACCTCTAACTACACGCCAAGGGGGTGCAGTTCGAATGAAGTAGCGGATGAGTTTTATCGGAAAAAGTTTGGTTTTTCGTCAGGATGCAAAAATTTAAAACACACCTATGTCAGTGCCAGATTGTAATGCTCAAATGAGGGACCTGAACGGTTCCAAAAATTATATTAGGGAATATCTATGGAGTTTCATGCGAGAGGGCTGGTAGTCGTTTTTGGTAGTTCCATTAGGATATCTGTCTGTTTCTTGTAAGCCCTCGTTTTAAAAATTAATAGAAATATTGTCTTACATAGCGATTGACGAATGGGCATAAACAGATTGCCTAGACACAAGTTATCGATGAATTGGGTCGTTGGAAGAGTATTTCCCCTTCTGGACAACTTGCGTGGACTCCGATGATTCACTAATCAACGCACATGTAAGTCTAAAACTAAAATGAACATAGAAAACAAGTAACTGAACAGATTTAACTTTTTCAGGTTCTCTATGAGATGACTAAACACTTTTTGAAAAGTTACAGGATTTCATCATTAGCTGACATTGGTTAGAGAACCATTGGAAAACCTGGGAGTACTGGACAGCTGTTTTGTCCTAGGTTGGGACTCTTCAGCAGCACGCACCCACTGGGGTTCGAACCCAGGACCTTCTGGTTACAAGGCGAGCTCACATGCCATTAAGCCACTGGGACCAGATCCAATGGCCCATGAATTCTAAGTTCTTCTTTTTGAAAAGTTGGAGGATTTGATCGTCAGCTGACGTCAGTTAGAGAACCATTGGAAAACCACCTGAAAGTACTGGACAGTTGTTTCCACCGTCCTAATTTGGGACTCTTGAAAACCTACAAAACCAATACTTGAAAATTAACCTGATACTCACTAGCGACTGGCCCTATCCAGGCACTTACCTGGGATTCTAGTGGGAAGCCGTGACCAGTAGAGTGGAGCAGGTTGAAGGTGAGGTAGTCACTCATCGAAGAAGACACTGTGTAGTGGTCGCACTATTTCATGAATTGGCAGAAGTTAGAATTCATGGGCTGGTTGGCCGATGGATCGGGTCCCAGTAGCTTAATGGTCTACAAGTTGGCTCGTCTTGCAACCAGAATGTCGCGGATATGAACTGTGGTGATGGGGGCGTACTGCTAAAGAGTTCGAAACTAGCCTGGCGAAACAGTCGGCGGTTCAGTACTCCCAGGTAGTTTTCCAATGGTTCTCTAACTGATGTCAGCTCATGATGAAATCCACCAGCCAGTAAAACAAAGTTCTTACAAAACCAATGCTTTATGCAAATAGAAACGGAACCTCAAGTGAAAAAGCTTAATATCTTATTCAGTTTGTTATAGAGAAACTGGTGAAGATTAGTGACAGAGAATTACTCCGGCTTCATTCAAACTGACTGAAACAAGCGAACTGATATCTTCTATCTCCAGGCAAAAAGAGGAGGAGAAATATACCTAAACGTCAGCTAACTAAAAATATTAATGATTGCCATGAAGAGTTTTGGGTCACGTAAGTGAAAGAAACGGGAAAGGAATCATAAATAGGCAGTGCCCTTCCACTATTTAAGCTCTTTGAGGAGAGGGATTCTAAATATCCTATGGTAAGCAAAATGATATCCGTGAAGGGTGAAAGTTTAATAGCTTTCCAGGAAAAACGGTTGAAACGTTGGTTAGAATACATAGAGGAACAGTCCATCTGGCCTTTAAATTTCCCACAAGTCACAGTCATCCAACCCACACCTTGTTGGATGCAGACGTAGATCCTTCAAATATAAATGAGGTTTTAAAGGCAATCTCCTGTCTGAAACGGTGTGTTTAGGAATGGTGATGATGAATTATTAATTAGATCGCTTATGGCATTATCTACTGTAGGGGATCCTGAGATAGTCACAATGGATTAGTATAGTTTATTGATCGTCTTGTAAGAGTTAGACTTGGCTTAACTTAGACCTAAATTAGCCACTCTTACAAAAACTTCACCGCTTTATGACCTTAGTTGTACTCTGCCTAATGTGCAAATACTAACGAACTGAATCAAGGTAAAAAGACTTGAGATGACTAGCGTGACTGGAACAGAGTTATATTTACACAAAAGCGTTATGAGATTTGATAAAGAATAAGAGGGTATACACTTATCTGCAGTCGAGACGGTGGTAAGCTCAGAGAGTGTGGCGGATGAAAGCACAACGAGAGAGCGAACCAAAACCGTACAGGAGATTCACGAATTCAAAAGAGGAAGTGGTTCTAAAGGTCAGGTGAGTCCGTTCAAACAAAAGTTCGAAGGTTCAATGTACACTGGAGTCTCATTCTTTAACGAGCGAAAGAAATCTTCCTGTAATGGTAATATATTTAGAGACATAATATACAAGATTCCAAGTTCCATGGTTCGGTAAAGGATAAATGGAGCTTGTGAAAAACAAAAGCCAAGTGGGATTCCCGACACGAAAAGAGGAGTTGTGATCATCCCAGAAAGACTATGTTACATAGACATATAAACTGTTACCCAACACTTTCATACTTCTCTACTTAAAGATGCAACTGATTCCGTCAACTGAGAAGTGTTAAGACCATGTTCGGTTGTGACGGTACTAATCAGGGAATTCCACTCAAAATCATATAACCCCTAACATTTCAAAGATGGTTCTGTACGATTGATCTGCACCTACTTCTAGCTTATTATTATTATTGTTCCCTTGGGTTCCTAGTGGAACATAGGGCTTAAGCCAGACATAAATCATCCGCGAAATCCTGGTCTTCTTGGATCTTCACGTCGGTCCAGGATATCCCTGTCTTCTCGTTTCCCACTGTCTGACGCATAATGTAGTCCACCACAATTAGGAATATCATTGGTGATAATAAGCACCCTTGTCTGACTCCTGTGTTTACTGCAAACGCCTCGCTGAGTTTTCCGTTGTGGATCACTTGACATGTGCCGTTGTCGTAGAGCTGTTGAATAAGGTTGATGAATATTTTGGGGGGAGGGTACGCCGTAGTATTCGAGTAGTTTCCAAATTACTTCACGGTCAACGCTGTCGAAGGCCTTCTCAAAGTCTATGAAGGAAGTTGAGGTAGAGGTTTGATTGCCATTCCATGCTTTGTTCGATGATAATGCGTAGAGTTGCAATTTGGTCAGAACATGATTTGCGTCTCCTGAATCCAGCTTGTTCCGGTCGGAGTTCTGTATCCAGTGCGTCCTTTATTCTCTCCAGGATGATGCGACTCAGGATTTTACTTGGCGTTGATAGGAGCATGATTCCTCGCCAGTTCTTGCAGAGTCCAAGGTCGCCTTTCTTTGTTAGTTTTACAAGGTAACCTTTCCTCTAGTCAGTAGGCACCTTTCCCTCCTTCCAGACCTTTTGCAATAATGGAGTCAGCATATCTGCTGTCGTCTCTGGGTCCGCTTTCAGTGCTTCCGGGGGTATTCCATCTGGTCCTAGCTTAGGAATAAAGAATGAAATGGTTACGATGTGGGACTTGTGTCAGCTTCAGTAGACTGATTGTTAACAAAATCTCAGCATGGATGCAAGCGCTCGCGTCTTCTTTAGTACTGGTGTGATTTTCGGCTATTATTTTTATATTGTGCAGTTCACTCCACCCCACCTTACAACTGTGAGACAAGGTGGCTGAAGATGGGAGGTGTACAAATTACTAGCAAATTTTGGTCATGGGCTTCTCTGCTGAATCTGTCAGATTAGGTGGGGTGGAGTTAAGTAATGTAAAGAAAGTCAGTTGATTGGGTGGTGAAACTCCGTCGATTGGTACTGCGCTTTCCTCGGTAAACTATATTATTGGATACAGGATTAAGCTTAAAAATAGACTTATGAGTGACCAGACCGGAACACACTACTGATCCACTACGTCTTTGACCAACGATTTAAGTCACGTAAAAGAGTGCAGACTACCTGGCATGGATCTTTGACATTTTAAACGTCAATATTTAGTGAATGTTAGTGATATG